TGGGTTCCGTCGTTTTGTCGTTGTTCCCGTTTTTCGGTTGACTTAGACTCTGATTTGGCAGTAGATCTGATTCCTGTTTTGGCAGTAAATCCACTTTTGAGTTCGAGCCCGAAACTGATCTTGATTCGATCGTGATTCGTCCGAGTCCGCCCTTGGTTGGATGACTCATTGACACTTCAAACCGTTAGTTTGATTCCGCACGCGAGTGGATTTATTCCGTTGTTTGCGTGCGGTTCATTAGCTTCGTAGCCTCGTTAATGCGCTTCGTCGCGTATCGCTTGGCTTTGACGTTGTGGACTAACAATCGTGTCTGCATACGTCGCCCGATGGTCGGTTCGTCGAATCGGCGTTGTCGAGCTGTGTTAAGGGACCTATAGGCAGTTTTATACGCCTACACCCTCTTATCTTCAGTTATAACCACTTTATCACATTTAAAGATAACCCCAAGGCAGTTAGGGAGGCTCAGGAACCGTCAAAACTGATCGAAAACCGTCAAACACACGTCCCGAGTGCGAGACAGTTCGGGGTGTCTCGCACATGTGCGAGACAGTTTGTACTCTCTTTAGTATTTTCGCTCTAATTCTTTCATCCGACCTCCGAATGAGGTGATTCAAGTTGTGTTGGAAAGATAACGAAAAGATCTACAACTTTCATCTTTTAAGATTCTTTAGATTCGAATCTGATCATGGTCAAAACAGCTCCACAAAATCCAAGACACTTGTGAGTGTCTCGGCCATGGCCGAGACACCAATGAGTATCTCGGGTATTTTGATCATAACTTCCTCATATGACCTCCAAATGACGTGATCCAAGATATTGGAAAGATAACAAGGAGATATACAACTTTTATGTTTTGAGTTTCTTCAGATTCGAATCTAATCATGGTCAAAACATCTCCACAAGGTCCGAGACACTTGTGAGTGCATCCGCCATGGCCGAGACACCAATGAGTGTCTCGGGTATTTTGGTCATAACATGCTCATATGACCTCCAAATGATCTGATCCAAGATGCATTGGAAAGATAACAAGGAGAACTACAATATTCCATGATTGAATAATATGTGAATTGGACAAAACATGAGAGGCACTTCACCTTTTGCAAGCGATGTGGGGTTCCCGATAAACTCGTGTTTCCATCATTCTGAAGTTTCATCGTTTCGCATGGTCCGTCGACTCACTTCGTGTATTTGTCATCATCAAATGAGCTCCTATGACTCAGATAGTGATGTTCATCATCTTCTCTCTGTCTTGATTCGTGTGCGGAGACCTATAGGCAATTTTTAACGCCTACAGAAGTTTGTTAGAATCATTGTATAGTAATCAGATTATAGACTTAGATGATGGATCCACCCTTACTTCTACTACTCATCATTTAGCTATTAGAAATTATTTTCAAACCTTATATGATGATTATGCGGTTAGACATAGTGTAGCTACACAACAGTCTATAACTTCGTTTTCTTCAAGCTCATCCCGAGGTAAAAGTGTAAGTTTTGATAGGTATGCAATGGTAGCTGAGCTAACTGGTGGATCTGGACTTGGATCGTCATCATTGGAGGTTTCTAAAATAGATGAATATTTATCTGCTTCTTTAGTTAAATGTCAAGAAAATGCTTTAGATATTTTGCAATGGTGGAAAGTATATGGATCAGTTTCATATCTTATACTTTCCACTATGGTTCGTCACTTACTAACAGTGCAGGTTTTGACGGTAGCTTCAGAATCCACCTTCAGCACAGCAGGACGTTTGATCGACGACCACAGGACATGCTTAGATCCGTATACTATACAAGCGGTGATGTGCATACAAGATTGGTGGAGGTACGAGAAACGAACGCAAGACATCGATCGGATGGTTGGAATTGAAGATAAATTTGAAGAATTAGGACTTGCAGATAGATATAAAGAATAAATAATATTCATCAAATTATAATTTTTATATCTTAGCTTAAAATTTGTAAAGAATTATTTTAAAAATAGTTGCAAATGATAGTGATATAGGTGAGTAGGTGCCAACCTTGTTGGGATGTACTTATCTATTGTGATGCGATGAATTCCAAAATAAATTTATACTTATAATTTGTAAATGATTTATTAATTATTGTCCGGTTTTGCCCGGCCCGGAAATCCGGATGGACACACCTAAGCGTACATGATATGTTATTTATTCATATTCCATTCCTTGAAATGAATGTGCCTAATGGATAAAGTCGTGGTCATGGTTATAGAAACGGCCGAGGTAACTATCATGGTCATGGTGGTCATAATAACAACTCTTCCAGTCACAATAATAAATCTTACCATCAGAAGTCAGACAGTGTTGAAGAGAATGGTAAAAGTGGACAAAACAAGTATTCAATGAGTTTTGACAAGGTCTAACAAAACACATAATTGAATTATTAATGATTGTGGAAATATTAATCTATTTTGGTCATTTGATAATGGGAGAGGTGGATGTTAATACAATATCCGAAAAAGGTGGAATTCAAGGTGTAACAAAACTAAGAAATATTTTGCCCATTATGGGAGAGGTGGATGTTAATACAATATCCGGAAGTACAAAACTAATTGAAGGCTCTAGAAGACCTATTTTACAATTCCTTGAAGGAACAAAGTTTATTGTAGATAACACATTATTCTCCAGCAAGTTTCAAAGAAATTTATTAAGTTTTAAAGATATTCGCCGATATGGATATCATATTGAGACAGTAAATGAGAATAATGTCGAATATCTGTTTTGGGTAAGAAATATGTATCAGAAAAACTACCCTCATTTTCTTCTGGCTTGTAAGTATAGTTAAAATATATGTCATAGTGAACCAGAAGTTCACTGATCCAAATACTTTTATTATTTGGCATGACCGATTGAGGCATCTTGGATCAATAATGATGCGGAAAATAATTGAGAATTCACATGGGCATCCTTTGAAAAACCAAAAGATTTTTTGGTCTAATGAATTTTCATGTGTTGCTTGTTCTCAAGGTACTAACTAAGTTGGCATTGAATCTCTCGTATTTCTGGAACGTATTCAAAGTGATTGTAGATGCATCTGCAAGATGGTCACATGTTTGTTTATAATCAACTCGCAGTCTGGCGTTTGTGAGATTGCTTGCTCAAATAATTTGATTAAGAGCACAATTTCCAGAATATATAATTAAGACAATTCGTTTTGATAATGCTAGAGAATTTATATTGCATGCTTTTATTGACTATTGTATGTCAATTGGAATAACAATTGAACATCCTGTAGCACATGTTCTTACACAAAATGGTCTAGCAGAATCATTGATAAAATATCTGCAATTAATTACTAGACCATTACTCATGAGAACAAAACTTCTCATTTCGGTTTGGGGACATGCTATTTTACATGCAGCAACACTTGTACGCATCAGACCTACAAGTCATCATAAGTTCTCCCCCTTGCAACTGGCTTATGGTCAGGAGCTAAATATTTCTCATCTAAGAATTTTTGGATGTGCGGTATATGTTCCAATTGCTCCACCACAACGCACTAAGATAGGACCTCAAAGGAGGTTGGGAATATATATTGGATATGAGTCCCCTTCTATAATTAGATACATTGAACTAATGAGCGGCGATGTTTTTATGACACGGTCTGCCGATTGTCATTTTGATGAGACAAAATTTCCAACATTAGGAGGGGAAAATAAGCGAAAGAAATTACATGGAATACACCATCATTAAATCAAATCTTGATCATTACACAAAACAATGTGAGCCAGAAGTTCAAAAGATGATTTATTTGTAAAATATAGCAAATCAAATGCGAGACGCATTTACTAACCCAAAGAGAGTGACAAAGTCACTACAAATGCTCCAATCCGGATTGATATCCCAGTAGAACAATCTATTAATTTATAAGCAATGAGTCTAAAGCACGTCTGAAGCGTGGTAGACCAATCGGTTCTAAAGATCAAATTCTCGAAAAAGAAAATGAGCAAATAATCAAGATAACCCCATTAAAGAAGAAAGAACTCCAGAAGAGAAACAATACATAAATGAAACTAGAGAAGAGAACCATGACATAACTAATCATTAAACTCTAGAAAAAGTACAGGTACCTAAAATTAGTGAAGATGAAGAGATCTCGATAAGTTATGTCCCAACTGGAGTAAAATGAAACAAAAAAGAAATAGTTATTGACAACACATTTGCATATAACTTAGTGCTCAATATTATGAAAGATAGCGAGGATATTGAACCAAAATCTATCAAAGAATGTCAATGTAGGAATAATTGGCCAAAATGGAAAGAAGCAATTCAAACAAAATTAGACTCACTTTCAAAACGCGAGGTTTTCCGACCAATAGTCCTAACACCTGAAGATTTAAAACCAATTGGGTACAAATGGGTACTTGTGCAAAAAAGAAATGAGAAAAATGAAGTCGTGAGGTATAAAGAATGACTTGTCACACAAGGATTTTCCCAAAGACCTAGAGTCGATTATGAGGAGATATATTCTCCCGTGGTGGATGCAATTACATTTCGATATCTGATTAGTCTGACAATAAATAAAAGACTTAATACGCGTCTAATGGATGTTGTTACAGCCTATTTATATGACTTTCTTGATAAAGTTAACTGTATGAAAATCCCTGAAGGATCTGAGATGCCAAAAGCATGTAATTCAAATTCCTAGGAAAATTATTCATTCAAAATACAAAGATCTTTATAAGGATTAAAGCAATCTAGATGCATGTGGTATAACCGTCGTAGTGAATATTTGCTAAAAAAATGGTATAAGTAATCTGCCCATATGCTTTCATAAAGGAATTTAGATCTGTATTTGTCAGATTGCAGTACATGTTGGCGACTTGAATATTATTGTAACTCCAAAAGAATTTCCAAAAGCAATAGAATATTTAAAGAAAGAATTTGAGATGAAAGATCTTGGAAAAAAAAGTTTTGTCTTGGCATGCATATCGAGCATTTAGTAAATGGAATTCTTATTCATCAATCAAATTATATACAAAGGGTCCTGAAGTGATTTTTATGGATAAAGCACATCCATTGAGTACCCCAATGGTTGTCTGGTCACTTGATGTGAATAAAGACCATTTCCGACCTCTAGAGGATAACGAAGAACTTCTCGGTCCAGAAGTACCATATCCTAGTGCAATTGGTGCACTAATATATCTTGCTAGTGATATACGGCTAGATATAGCATTCTCTATAAATTTGTTAGCAAGGTATAGTTCTTATCCAACTCCAAGACATTGGAACGGAGTTAAGCACATATTTCGATATCTTCGAGGAACAATTGAAATGGGATTGTTTTATTCAAAAGGATCTGGAGCACAACTAATTGGTTATGCAAATGCATGGTATTTATCCAATCCACATAAAGCTCGATCCCAATAGGATATTTATTTACGTATGGTGATACAACTATATCACGGTGATCTACAAGACAGACTATTGCTGCTACTTCAAATCATGCAGAATTAATAGCAATTCATGAGGCAAGTCGAGAATGTGTTTGGTTAAACTCAATGACTCAACACATTCAAGGGATATGTGGTTTGCCTTTCAAGAAAGAAACTCCAATAACACTGTATGAAGATAATGTTGCATGCATAGCACAGCTAAAAGGAGGATTCATTAAAAGAGATAGGACAAAACATATTTCACCAAAGTTCTTTTTCACTCATGATTTTAAAAAGAACGGGATATTGATGTTCGACAAATCCATTCAAGTGATAATTTTGCGGATCTATTCACTAAGGCATTATCGACTTCAACGTTTGAGAAGCTATTGCATAAGATCGAGATGCGGCGATTAAGAGATCAAAAATGATATATTTAACAGGGGGAATTTATACAAGAAATTATGTATTCTTTTTCCTTCACTAGGATATTTTTCCCCACTGGTTTTTTCCCAGTAAGGTTTTAACGAGGCATATCCATTGTATAATGGACATCCAAGGGGGAGTGTTATGAACCTATTTATGGATGTCCATAAACTCATGCATTTACTTCTCTCCATTTGACTTTTGGAGTTGTTTCTAAAGTCTAATAAATCATGTATGTATATATAGTTGTAATGTATGAAGCAAAAGAACAAGTAAAAAAGATAAGTTCTTTAGCTCTCTAAATTCTCTAATCTCAAGAAATAAGTCATTAGTTTTACAAAGTATTTTATAACAACTTAATTAATTTGATTTGGATTAGGTTAGAATTGACTACAGTATATAACCCAACTTAAACTGAACCAAGTGGAGCCTCTCTGAATTTGAATTTATCCATGTTTGTCCATGAAGAGAGTGCTTAGATACTGCGGGTGGTTCTATCTAGTATTATATTTGTAATTAAGTATGTTTTATTTGATCTAGATATAGAATGGGGGTATCTTGACATTGGCAATTACAAAAATACTCTGTTTTCATTAAATAGTATGCTTATTATTTTAGAATTGGTAATACAATATAGGGTTAATTGGCAGATGCACATATAGGTGAAACTTTTGACTCTTTAACCTTGGATGAAATTTCGGCAGATATTAACCCTAGGTGAAATGTTGACAATATTACTTACCTCTGTGAGAATCCATATGAGGTAAAAGAGAAAAAAAAATTATTTTATTCAAGAGGTCTATCTGTCAAGATGAAACAACGGGAGTAAGAAATTTCAAACTACGATATTATTACAAGGAGTCTACATGCAATTGACTCTGAAATGTACGGTTTCTTCCCCCCTCAAGCAAGGGGTTTTTCAGTAATCGCGAACTGATTTTGCTCAGGAGATTTACTACAGGGATCCAAAATATGAGACCAATAGGGGGAACATGTGAGGTGTCCTCCTTCTATTACATAATAAGCTGGTCATCATTGATGATGACCAACTCATTATGTAATAGAAGGTACACCTCACCTGTCCCTTCTGTTGATCCCATGTTTTGGATCGTTGGGGATTTTTCTTTTGGTCAGCTCATGCGTTAATGCTGTCCATACCTACTCCATCCACCCAAACGAACAAGTGTCATCCACTGTAACATCATAATCTCATTGGTACATGTTCCATTATTTTTTTGGTTCATTCATCTCCCTACCCTTCCATTTGCACAGTTAATGGACACTATAACTGGCTTATCCATACTTTCTCTTTTGTTGTTATTCATGGCATAAAGTTAGTTTAAAAAAATGAATGCGATGGACGAGCTTATCCTATCCCATTGGGATCCAGTTCAGGCTCCATTAGATATGATCCAGTTCAGGCTCCATTAGATATTTTTAAGAGAGCTATAAATTTTAGATCTAAAGGGGCTTTGTTCGTTGGCTGGTTTAGGAGTGGTAAATGCATAAATTATCATAATAAATTACTAAATGTATTTTTTTTTTTAAGATTTAGAACTTATTGACTTTAGACCCTACTTGACCTCTAAAACTATTAAATTTATCTCTATATAGCTCTTGAAATATTTTTCGTTTCAGTGCTTTCTGAACTATGAAATCCATCCCTACTTATTCTTGAACTATTAGGTTTCAATATCAAGTTACTACTTTTTATTTATTACTTAAGGAAGTCCAATGATTTCAGACTTCGCCTATACACCTTTTTCCTTTTTTTTAATCACCGTAGTTATCCACTTTTTAGAGGACAAGTTGTGATTATCTGCATAAAAGAGTTCTTTTTTCCAATATATGCCCGTCAAATCATAGATATTTTTAAATTTGTCCCCAGAACATTATAATTCTAAAATTTCCCCTCAAATTATTTTTTTTTCCCTACATTCTCACACGTACCTTGTAATCAAGCTTTACACTCAGAAAGGTTTTTTTTTTTTTTTTTTTTTGTAAATTACATTCGATAGTTTCACGACTATCACTGGTCAATTGCAAACCCTTGATCAGCGGCAATTTTCTTTAAATATTTGTTTCTCATGTACCATAGCTCTTGTGATGTTCATTTAATTTGCAACTGGGTGCTGCAGGCGGGTGCGGAGGCGGATGTAGCCAGCACTTCCTTTCTTAAACAAATGAGACGGAGTTGAAGGGGTAATTTAGGCCTCAAAGTCCTTAAATTTTAAAAGAAGTTGAGGCGGAGGGAGTATTTTTGAGGAAACGGAACAATTTGAGGGACAGATTTAGAATTACAATAATTTGGGGGACATGTTTATAAATACCTACCATTTGAGGGGTATATACCTAGAAAACCCTTAATAAAATTGGGATGCTGTATTAGTAGACAACTTGCTTGAGATTTAAGATTAACACAATATCAAATGAGCCTATTCATTGAATAAGCACGAGGGGTAGTAAGATATTATAGTCTTGATAGCAATTTTCATATAAATAACTGATGCAAATCCTAAAGTGCATTTCCCTATAAGGAGCAGGATTAAAGAAATTCTTAAATGTGCACTTATTAAAGTTATAAGCTATTACTAAGATAAGGTTGCTTTCAAAGTAGCTGCTATAATTAATATTATTAGTCCATGAACACCTTGCTACGTTGGGGGCCAATTTTTTGTCAGCCTTAAGTTGGCCTTTGAGACTTCAAGGAGTGAGATGGACAAATTCACTGATGGATTTCCGCATTCCTACCCAAAAAAAAGACAAAAAAATAAAAATAAATAAATAACAAGAGTGGCTTGTATTTAGTGGAATGCAACTATGATCATAAACATATTGATACTGCTTTATGCATCTTGATTATTGTACAAGAAATATATTTTGCTCAAGGTATGCCACAACTAACATAATGATGAATGACTTTAATGGCTTGTATTCTT